TCCAAATCAAAGTAAATCTGACAGATGGTGGTCAAATTTTTTCTCGAATGCCTCCAGTGCTAGAGTACCTCCTGAGGTCACTGGTTCCATTGTCGTACTGCTCTAACAGTTAAGAAGTTTTTCCTGATATTTAGCCTAGATCTGGATTCCTGTAGCCTCAGGCCATTCTTATATGTCCTGCACTCTGGGGTGATTGAGATCAAATCCTGCTTCTCTTCTGCATGACTACCTTTCAGATATTTGACTAATGCTATTATATGTCCGAGGAACTGATAACAAGTGTCTGAGAATATTATATTGAGATAGAGATGAAGGTGGTCTGTTTGTGGTATCAAAAGGGAATCGGCCAAATGGAAACATTACCATAAAGTTCTTGAATTCCTTTAATGTCATCCTGTGAAAGCCGGAAATGCTTGGTATAGGTATAAATGGGGGCCATGAGTGCACCAGGATCTTCAGAGTGTTCTAGTCCCATGGCATGGCCAAATTCATGAGCGGCAACCAAGAAAAGGCTGTAGCCTGGAAGGAAACAAGTCAGGTTTTACGGCTGGTGATATATAATAATGATGATTGAACATCCTGTGTGTCAGTAGGAATGAAAACAATATCCACTAAATCCCTGATTGTGACTGATTCCAACTATCTTGATGTGAAAAGACACCTTGATGAGATTTTAAGTTTAAAACCTTATGGGATCCTTTGCTCCCTGTTGAGACCAAGAAAAAGTTTTCTTTCACCCTACGTCAGGGTCTCTGCAAGTTGTGTGAACCGTTAGCATCCTTTCCCTTTGAGAAGGAAAGCATATAGGCACAGAACAAGCAAGAAAGGACTGGCTGATTGATAGGGAAGTCAGGAACAACCCATCCAATGCTTCGGAATCAGGTGGGGCCCAACAGTTTCGAATCAAGTAAATACATCAGCAAACTAATTCCATTGGCTTGCTTAGCCCTTGATTAGAGCCTATTTTAAACCAAGTAAAGGGGATTTTTAGTGCTCTGGGACTCAACTTTTGCCCAGTAAGATACAATTGTTTTGAACTTTTCTCCCAACTGAAAGGGCCTGTAAGTTCACTTCTAGTTTTTTTTTAAATAAAATTATTTAAATTTACATTAAAGCTACTGGAAATGTGCACCAAGTAAAGGGGATTTTTAGTGCTCTGGAACTCAACTTTTGCCCAATAAGATACAATTGTTTTCTCCCAACTGAAAGTGCCTGTAAGTTCACTTCTAGTTTTTTTTTAAATAAAATTATTTAAATTTACATTAAAGCTACTGGAAATGTGCTTCCTCCCACAGCATGCTCACCCCCACCCACTCACCCCATGACTTTGTGTCTGCCTTGAGGGAAGAAATACCATTCCTTGAGAATTCTGGAAGTGGTGATTTCCCATTTCTAGAGACAAATTTTACTCCCGACCCCTGGAAATTTGAAATTACACAAAACACATTATAGCTGCCTGATTCCCATTTCTGGTTTGCAACATGATTCCGCAATGGTATAAAAGAACAACCCAAGGATCAGGTGAAGTGAGACTGAACTATGGTTTATTTCTTCTTCTGGCTGGGTATGAGGACCAAACCTCATGAAGGAGCCAGGGTCTTTGCCCGGATTCGTGTAGAGTTGGGCGCATGACATCATGTCTTGATCGAGCCTTTATGTGAGAAGTTATATCAATGTCTACAGAGGTTCACAAGAGGATAGAGAAAAATGGTGATTCCTTTGTCATCATGTGGCAGTCAGCTGACTGTAGTCTAAACCTGGAAGACTGCGATAAATATGGTTTGAGCGGTATCCCTACCTTGGTCCGGACAAAATCCCCACTTGCGATCTTCATCATAGCTGCTTGTTGTGGAACACCACATCTTTCCATCTTGGCGTCCTGAGCTGGTACAGGCATCATATTTATTCCCAAGGAATGTGAACGGAAAAACGCAAGGAGCCCCTTCAGAATTCCCACCAACTGTTGACATTGCTACAATTTTAGAAAAAGAGAGCGAGAGAGAGAGAGCATTAATTAGGAGATATAAGCAGAATCTTTCAACGTGCTCCCCAAACACTGTTAAGTATCTCTGCTGTTTTGTGGATCCACTTTGTTCCAGAAAGTAGGGCTAAGATTTGTGGAATTTTTTGGACTACAACTGCCATAATTCCGTACTCTGAGAGTTGCACCATATATCTTACAAACACCTACCGTATTTTTCCATGTATAAGACTATACTTTTGTCTAAAATCTTTAGACTAAAAATTGAGGGTCGTCTTATACACAGAAGTAAGCAGAGGAGAGAACAAAAACAAGTGGAGGGGAAAGCAGGGGTCAAAGTGATTTTATCCCTTTCCCCCTACACTTGCTAAGTCTTCACTTAGATTTCTTAATTTTGGATTAGAAAGGTGGAGGTTACACAGAAAAATACGGTAAATATGGCTCACCTTTAGGAGAAAGGTCAAAACTGGGGTGCCTTATACACAGAAAAATATGGTAAATATGGCTCGCCTTTAGGAGAAAGGTCAAAACTAGAAGGTTTTGTGGCATAATTCTTCCTAGTTTCTGGTTCAGAAAGAAAACTCCCAACAAGCAGCTGAGCAGGATCAGAAAGCCTAGGCAAAATTAGATCTCAGACATTTCGTCTTAGGCCCTTTCTGCAAGTGAGCCACATTTTGGTATCAATAAGTTATCAGTCAGGAGAACTCTTGGAATTGAGATTTATAGGATTTATAGGGTTTTTTTGGGGGGGGTAATTAAAAATTGCATACCAATTAGAATTTTTGAATTCTTCTTGAATTGCAGTTTGAACAGGAGAGTGGCTAAGCCACAATCATCATCACAATCAGAATTATAATCATCATTCTTGAACTAGAATATGGTCCCACTGATTGCATCTTCAGTTCTTCCATTTTCTTTGCAATTTTACTCACTCTTTCCATCAGCCATGTCTATATGGGACTTGAGGAAACACTTCAAGAGAGTCATCCCAATGGGGCTGTATATAGAATTGTATCTCTCTCCATTTACCCGAAGGTTATGCTCATACACATACGGTCTTCTGTATGACTCACTACACAAAACAATTCCTGCTAAAGGCTTCAAGTAAAAAAACTAATCGAGATTTTGACATTCTGATGGCTGTTGTAGTTTTTTCGGGCTCTTTGGCCATGTTCTTAAGGTTGTTCTTCTTAACGTTTCTCCAGTCTCTGTGGTCAGCATCTTCAGAGGACAGGATTCAGAACTCTGTCTGTGCTCTGGTGCAGTCAAATATCCCACAAACTGCACCAGAGCACAGACAGAGTTCTGACTCATGTCTTCTGAAGATGCTGGCCACAGAGACTGGCAAAACGTTAGGAAGAAAAAAGAACACGGCCAAACAGCCTAAAAACCTACAACAACCATCGGATCTCAGCCGTGAAAGCTTTCGAAAATACATTTTGACATTCTGTATGTGTATGATGTTATGGAGGAACTGAAATTGCAACACAAGTGGAATGGAGAGAAATAATTGGATTTGATGGCTGTGCCTTTTTATGACAGTGCCTTTTTATGCTTCCCATGACTTGCTGTGAAGAGACACACTCGTTGTGGTGAATTTTTTTGCCCTTTGATTTGCTTTCGTTTGAAGGAGAGATAATCCATTGAGACAATGACTCTACCTGTCTCTGGGCAAAATCCAAATTTCTTATCTCGGTCATAGTCTTCGGTGGTTCCACACCACCTGTATCCATCTTGCCTTCCTTCGGTGGTACAGCCATCATAGGTTTTACTTTGAAATTTGAAAGGGAACTTGCACGGCTGGCCATCAGAATTCCCTCCCATCGTGAAAAGTGCTAGAAAACAAGGAAATACCAAGAGTTAAACATTTGTGGAAATGTTACTTGTATCTTAATCTATAGCATGTGCATCTCACAATGAAATAAGGTTCAGTAATATAAATGTGGTGTTTGCCTCAATCTGGATATTTGATGTATTGTTTACAGAAAGAAGAGTGTTTTGAGGAATGTGAAGAGATCAGGGTTTTTTTTCCAGTTTTCAGTTATAAAGCACTCACTACAGGGTAGGATAACCTGTCAAGAATTCTTCAGTCTCTGTAAGAACTCTCAGATCTACAAAGCAAGCAAACACTGTTTCCTCATTTTGTTTTCCGATGTTTTGGACAGAACCCCCACCAATGCAAAACTGGCGTCTTTGTAAGAGCATCGGTGTCCATCCCTCAACAAGCACAACAAAACAAGTTAGATCAAAAAGACACACAAAAAACTGTGCAATGCTACTATGTGCAAGAAGGCAACACCTGCTAGATGATGCATGTTTTCCAAAAATGCGGACAGTGAGTCTAACAAATATGCAAAATCTCCCAGAGATGGACAAAATACATTCTTACCAGCTTATAGCGAGGAGAAAAATCCTTGCATTTTTTCTTCATTCATCACGTGAGCACAAAACAAATCAGGAATCCCATCTCTGTGTGCCAAATAACAGGTCTTTGCCAAATGGCGAGCCAAGAAAACAAACCAGCTTTCTCAGTGAAAAAAAGGCACCTCATACATATCTCTTGAACCGTGTTACAACTGTAGCACTAATGAGAGGTTCTCTGTACTATATAGTTTGGTTCCAAAACCCTTCAGCAGCAGAAAATGCAGAGCAATGATCCAGACCCTGTAGGTCCTCAGATGTTGTACCTACAACTCCCAGTATCTCTGATCATCAAGCATGATTAGATGAAGTCCTGCATCTCACAGAGGCTAGTCTTCAAATTCTTTCTTCCTTAAATCTCTCCACTGGAGAGAAAGATGCAAGTGGGAGGTTAAGATGAGTCACTCACTTCCTACTTAAGCTGCTTCCAGCTGGAGGCCTGGCAGCCTTCAGCGTTTAATAGCATATTTTATTAGCTGAACCACAAAAAAGTTGCAAAAAAAAAAAAAACCTCAGCAGAAGCTTGCTTTATATTGGAGCAATCATTGTTTCAATGACCAAACTGGCTATTTTTAAGTTTAATTTAATTTTAATTTATTTTGCATGCAGAGTAAAGTCCTTCAATCTGAGCTTAGAAAATTTCTTTTAAATGTAATGCATTACACTGTGGGGGGGGGGAGACTCGTAAGTTAATGTTATAGATGCACTCAATTGGAAGTAATGATTTCTAATTTTTCAGGTGTAACTAAAACAGTTGCTTAAAAATACCAATCAACTCAATGTGCTTTTCCATGATATAAACCATAGAATCTTTGCCTAACGGAGTTGGAAGGGACCTATAAAGCCATTGTGTCCAACCCTCTGAGACCACACACAAAGAGTAACTATAAGAGTAATACAACAGTCATAGTTTCACGACAGTAAGAGTTAAGTGATGGTTAGTATTTTCATGGCAAACCTAAAAAGTTAAAAAAAAAAAAGAGAGAGAGGAAATTGCTGGATATGGAAAGAAAGACACACCCTGATTGTGTAACATATTCACTCAAAGCCCACAGATACAAAAGATCATCCTTTCACAACCAAGCCCACCATATTGTTTGTGCTTAAATCCAGATGGAGCAGTCACTCATGCTTTTTTTACACCTCTGCTATTACTTTCAGAAGATTAAAATTTGAGAGCCTTTGATTTAATTCACAATAGTGTAAGAAAGATGGAGATGGGCAGATCCGTGTCCTGTTGTGCTTGTGGTCATTCAGAAATCCATTCCATCCAATTTCATCTTTAATGTGCAATTCTGTCTATTTCAAAATTACATTATAGCAATGTATACATTGTATGTACATTTAACGGCAAAGAGCACAGCATTCTGTGTATGTTGGCACATTTTTAAAGGCAGAAAACCATCGCAACGTTCCGCGAACTGCAGAAATTGGAAGGACAGCAAAGTAGAGGCCCACACTTTAATTTGAGAAGTATGACTCAGATCGGTTCATTTCCAAAGGTAGACTAAGGTAAGTTCTTGAGATCTCTAAACAGAGGGTGGGAGTTTGTAGGTTTCCTTCACCCCATATACCAGGGTGAGACTTTTTTTCCTCCCTAGTCCAGACCTGGGCAAAGTGTGGCCTGC